TATTCCTTTTGTGGGTTGCATTTCTCACATGGGAATCTGTCTGGGAAGGACCTTTCTCTGCCTGCACCTCTGGAGTACCCAATGCTGTCTGCTCTGATCTTCCTGCCCCCAACACCCTCATTCTTGAGCTGCAGACAGCCGAGGACTCTGGCTTATAGAGATGCTCTTTGGAGCAGTTCAGCCTGGCTCACAGGAAACTGAGCGATTTCTTTGCTCCAGTCCTGTCCACTCCTCCTGCAGGCAGCTACCTGTGCAGCCAGACCTCTCAGTCACTGCTGGGCCAGCCCTGAGACAACCCATGCGGCTCCACTGGGGCAGATGGCTCTAAGCAGGACCTGCCACCCCTCCAAGGTGTTGCCTCAGCCATTCACAGCTCATTCTAACTGGTCTTCCTGGGGAAAGAGCACAAGAGGGTAAAGAGTGATTGCCTGCCCCAGCAGAGATGGCTTACACCCCTCTTGCCCAGATGGAATGCAGCCGAGAGGTGACACAAAGGTCCAAGTAGAGCACAAGGCAGACTGTGGGGCACTGTCCTGGAGAACAGCCCAGTCCTCAGGCTGCTGGGACTGAGGTTCAGTCCAGTCCCACGTGTCCCTGAGAGATGGCAAGTCTGCGCAGACACAGCTTCCAGGGCTTTGCCCAAAGTGTGCCTTTTCCAGCTGCACATGATTTATTGGGGGGATCTTTGCCCTCTCCACAGCAGGAGAGGGGCTGTGGGTGAACTAGAAGCTACAAAGGGTTAGATGCATCCTGGTGTGATCCCACTGGATTTCTCCTAGGAATGGATTTGGCCCAGACAACTGGTGAGCTCTGGGGACAGCAGTGGTGCAAGGAAACTTCCACCCCTTTCCCCTGGGCTTGTAATGCTAATGATCTCCAGCTTTCAGACTCACCTCTCAGCTCACCCTTCCCTCATCTGTAAATGTTGCAAGGGAAATTTTGTCCAGATAAGCTTATCCTCAAGGGGAGGGGGCCAATCATGCTGAGAGTTAAGGCATCCCTGCACACCCAGCACCAAAGGCACCATCACTGGTGCTGCCAGCCAGGACTTTGCACTCACGAGCAGAGGGAAGGACAAGAAAAGGTGAAAGGCAACAGTGAAATGAGTACAGGAAAGAGGGTTACTGTCATCTTTCTATTTCTCTACCTGAGTGAGGGAAAATGCAGTTTGTACTTTGGGAATTCAGAGTAAAATCAATTGAAATGCAATGGTTGCCCAAAACCATCTATTTTACAGTCAGGAAGGACGCAGTGCCTGCCGAGCCCAACCCGTGCACCGCACAGAGCTGGCAGGGTCAGCAGTGCTGCCTGCACCAAGCCCTGTGCTGCCTTGCCCAGGCTAAAGGAAGGGGTGGTCCATGTCCTAGGGGGGTGGGTGGATGCCCTGGGGACCTGGTGTCAGAGCACACAGGCTGTGAAATGGACCTGGGCTGCTGGACCTCCAGCCCCACAGCTCCCTGCTGCACCCCTCTGCTCTGTGCCTCTGTGGAGCCAGATCACCTCCTGGTTTACTGTATCATAATCACCTCAATAGCTTACAGTATGGTTTTCTTGCAGTTTTTATGTCATATCTGCAGTTCTCTCCATCATGATATGTGACTGCACCAATTCCTGCAATTGGGGCTGGCCAGCTAATAGGGACATTGCATGTTTCCCAGACAGAACCTTTAAATCAAACCCCACATTCAAATGAGAGAAGAGAGAGGAGGAACCCCTGTCTCCTTGCAGAGCGCTGCAAGCCTCCCCACTGCTCTGAAGTGACCCCCCAGATGCCCCCCGTGCACTGTGGAGGGATGAGCATCTCCCCCATCCCACAGTCCTCCATGAGGCCAGAGCTCAGCAGCACTTGGTGCTGCTGCCTAAAGTCCCTGCCCCACCTCAGGGGACAGAGCAGTGGTGAGGGGAGTGGGGACGGTGAGCGCGGGGAGGGAAGGCAGTCTCTGCCAAAGGAAAAGGGGCACTGAGTGGATGGGGGCAGGGAAACCAAGGATTCACAGAGAGATGGGTTTGTTCATGAGGTCATAGGAAACTGGAATACACTGAGGTGACTTCAAAACCTGATGAAATCAGTGAGGATATTCCGCCACCCCCAGCTTCAAGAAACTCTGGATCAGGCCCTTTGTGAGAAAACTCCTCCCTTGTATCACCACGGACTCAGCCCTGGCACCTCTCCCCTCGAGAGCACAAGCATGATTATGCTTCCCAGCAGTCATCAGGAGAAGGACATCTCAATGTGGTTCCTGTTCTCCTGCAGGCTGAAGATCTCCCAATCCCACACATCTCCTCATGAGGAGGAAATAGCATTGCCCAGAAAAGACTGAAAACAGCTAAGTTCTTCAGGCTAAAACCAGAAGTCCTCCAAATCCCCCTCCTATGTGGTGAGCTGTAGTTCTCCACTGCCTGCTCCTCTCCAACAAAAGACCTCAACTGTGCTCTGGAGTATGATGGTACACAAGGATTATTTTATGTTTCATCTCCACCAAGACAAGAAAGGGAAGGCTATTTCAGTTCTCCTTTTTGCTCACAGGACACAAGAGAGGAATTGCAGATCCTCACATCTCCAACCAAATAAGGAGCAAGGCCACCATCTCCCCAGGGAATATTTTATCCCATATTGTTGCTGTGAGAGCAGCCTGGCAGACTGACCAACAGCCCTGCCAATGGACACCCCAACCCTCCACAGGGAAAAAAGCTAAAAAATCTGATATTGGGAATAGAGGTGGAGAAGGGTGACCTGTCGTCTGCACTGGAGGAAAATTTGGAGTAGAGAAACAGCAGAGTGTCTCTGTCCCAGCAAAATCTCCTCAGAAATATCAGACCATGGACAACTCCCCAGCTGTCTGCAGAAAATGGTTATGGCAGGAGGAGAGGAGCTGGTGAAAGGAGAAGGGAAACCAGGAGGTAAGAAAGAAATGTGAGGGAGGAAGCAAGAAGAAGATGAGCGCTAGCAAATGTTGTGTGGGGAGGAGAAGTCAGGTGAGAGTGTTTCGTAGGGTCAGTGCATGTTGTGAGCAGCTGAGCCGGCAGCACAGACACACAACAGCCCCCAGGCTCTGCTCCCCAAGACCGGCCACCACCATACCTCCAAAGTCAGGCCTGAGGCGGACGTCATAGCCCTTCAGCAGTTTGTCCACAATCTCTTTCACCACAGAAATATTCCCAGTGGATGGGCTGAAAGACAAAAGAAGAGAGTCCTTGTCATCCCATGTGCCACCAGCCCCACAGGAGGGGGTCCCAGCTGGGAAGCACCACAAGAACATCCCTCTTGCCCACGGCACCAAAGCGCCTGTTTGTGCTACAGACACCTCAGCCATGGGCAGAGCCTCCCCGCTTCCTTTCCCACTTGTATTTTCTGTCCCTGGCACAGCTCTTGGCCCCCAGCTTGCCAGGGACCCACAGGCCTGCCAGGGGTCCTAAGCCATCCTTGGGGGTGGCTCAGGAGTCTCAGCTGGTATTTTGGCTCCTCTTCTGCTGCTCACCCCAATTCCTGGTTACTCCAAACTCCATCCCCCTGTTCTCTTGCCTGGTGTGTGTCTGCATCCCAGCAGTTCTGCCAGGCTGGTACCCCCTCAACACAGGCACCGCTCACCACACACACCCAATCCCCAGCCACCCACCTGCACACTCAGGGGATTTCACAGTGCTCTGCCCATAGGTGGGTGCACAGACACACACAGACACACAGACACACACACACAGACACACACACACACAAACACACACAGGAATTATCCTCTCTGTTCCACCAAGGTGTGCACAGGGCAACTGCAGCCTCTCTCTTGCAGGGCTCTCTCCCCTTCCCCTGCCACGCTGGGCACTTGCTCCCAATCTCCCACTACACAGCATGGACTTGTCACACGCTGAGGTCCCCGCTACCCAAGTCCCTCCCCAGCAGGTGCCCTGCACTGTCGCACACCCCAGTACAACCTCTGCTTCTCAGTGCACCCAGGTATTTCTTCATATTGTTGAAGTAAAGCGAAGAACAAAGCTCTTTTTTATCTATGTCCTCAACATACGGCTGGTCTTTAGCGTGTAAAAATTCATTTTCTGTCACCCAGCATCACTGTGACTCTTAGCAACGCAAATCAACAGACAGACAGTGAAGGAGTCCATCTTTTGCTCCCTGTGCCAGGGCAGTGATCCTTTCCCTCCCAACCCTCTGACTTGCACAAAGGGTGGGCAGCCATCCTCCCTAACACTGATCCAGCTCCTCTAGCCATTTCAGCAAGAAGGGAGCTCTCTCTAATAACAGCCCAAGAGCCAAAGCAAAACTGATGGTGGGAAACCAGAAAGCAGAGGATGCTAAAAATATTAACCTATTCAGTGCTGGGGGGTAGATAAGTTTTCTACCTGAAAACCCAGCCTCTGTGCCACCCCCATCCCCTGCTTTGCATGGAAACAGAGACCCTGCTGATGACAACTGCTGCTCCTTGCAGTCACCCACCACAACAGCATGTCTCCCTGTCAACGCCACCTCCCACATCCATCCAAGTCAAGCTGGAAAGCTGCAGCATATCACTACCTCGGCAGTTAGCCCCGTGCCACACTGGACACCAGGGTTTGTGCTGACATGTCTGTGTGTCTGCTCGCACACACAGACAGACAGACACGCACGCTCTCCTGACCGTACGGAGGATGTACAGCCTCCCTGCCTGTGCACACATACATGCAAATCCATGAAAGCGCTGGAGCTCTAGGGCACAGCTGTGAAATGTGCACAAATGTGTGTGCAACTGTGTGACCACATCCAAGTCTGTGTGGAGGTGACAGTGGGACCTGATCTTGCTCCTTGGGTTGTGATGAGACACTGGGCTGTGGACACAGTTTATGTAGGAGCACAGAAACAGGCGTTTGTGGGTGCCTGAGACTTGAGTGACTGAGACTTGAGTGCCCAAACTGTCCATACAGTTGTGGGTGGAGGCATGTGGGACCACTGGGGAGTCTGGGCATGCATTAAGGCATGGATGCACAGGCTGTGTATCTGCAGGGATTTCTCAACTGAACAGGGATGTGCAAATGTGAGGCAGCACTCTTCCCAGGCCCAGCTTTGGGGCATGGACCAACTGTTCAGCACTTGTGCTGGGGGGCAAGTGTCTGAGCTGTGCTCCTGAGCATGCACCTTAGAGGGGTACAGCTCTTCACTGCATTGCTTTTATCACTGTAAAAAGGCCAGAGAGGTGCACACAGGTGGATATTTTCACAACACAGTGTCTAAGCTTGCAAGCTCTGCTTGCACCTGTGGATTTCTATGCAGGTATGTGAGGTTTTGCAACATGCTTATGTATATGTGCTCACTGTGGATTGATAGTGTGCACCAGCATTTGTTCATCTCTAGTCATTCCTAGATACCTAGATTTCCATGTTCACAAGTTTCTATATTCATAGATTCCCATATTCATAATATAGACACTGTGTATTTCTCAAGGGATCTAGACACTGCTGTTTAGCTCCATACAGGACATACACTCAGGAAGCAGTGTTACCTCCTTAATATAGGCAAGGAAATTGAGGCAGAGACAGTAACCAATGTGCCAGGGGCCTTGGAGAAAAGGGCAGAGTGGGAAGAGGGATATATGGGCTCTTTCTTCCTCATCAGCTACAAGTTGGCCCTGTGAGAGCATAAACTGGCATCATGATTAAGGGCAAGGTCTCTTGCCTCTCAGTGCTTCTTTTGATCCAAAAAGCCATGTCCCTCTCACTGAACAGGTAAGCTGTGCATTTGCCCACTGTGGGCGAGCAGCTGGCTGTAACTGCTGTTCCTGGCAAATGTGGGTCTGCATCCACTTAGGGAACACATACATCCAGCCTGTGAACTGAATTTTTGAGTACTGTGTCCCTGGCTGTGGGTGTGCTTTGCATATACATGTACACTTGCAGCCAAACATCCACACGTATGCACATTGTGCTGCTGGGTGGGGTGTGTGGGAATAGATGAAGGCATGTGCACATGGGAGAGTGTTTTGTCTCCAAGGTGTGCACAGCTATACATGCAAACTGTAGGTGAACATCAGTCCTGGAGAAAAGCAGATATACACACATGCAAGGACATGTCTGAGCAAAGGCTTTTGATACAGGCATCGCTCTTTACACATATGCTTGGATGTTGCCTCTAAGCATGCCTGTGTATGCGTCCATAGACTGTGGAACCATGCATGAATGGTGTGGGCAAGGTGGGCATGAATCTGCGCATGTGTGTGTTTATAACTATGGGAACATAAATCTTTGTATATAAAGATCTGCAAGCTTGTGCAGGGACCTGCATGTGTGCGTCAGGAACGCGCTGCTCAGTGTGCATGGCTGAGCAAGGAAATGTCACAGCTCCCTCCCCAGCAGACTTCATGCAAGCTGTCAGCAGAGGTACAAACCCACCTGCCCGCATGTGTGAGGAGGAGGAGGAGGAGACAGCACTACTCCTGTGTGTGTGTGAAGGCAGCAGATAAACGCCTGTGTCAGAGCAAACAGGTGTGCTCCGTGCACCTTGTCCAGGCTGGATGGGTGTCTGCACCTCTGGCTGCTCGGAGGGCTCAAGGCGCACACCAGGAATAGCTGCAGCCTGAGTACTGAGGGTATCAGTGCAAACATGTACACGGCTGCACACAGAGCAGGTAAAGCGTGCTGTGCTCTGCACGTGTGTGGTGACACACGTGTGTGCACCTGAATGGGCACGGATGAATGCGCACACGCAGGGCTGTGTCCGAACCGATCACACCCACAGATGATTGTGTTGCATGCCATAAATCTGCGTGGAGGCAGAGACATCGGCATCGCTTCCCGTACAGCGCAGACCGGGGCTTTGGTAGAGGCACAGCAGCCTGGATGTGAGTGTGGCTGCATGTGCACTGTGTGTGTACAGACACAGGCATGGCCAAGGCAGCCCTGTGCCGGGGTGCGTATGTGCCGTGCGCTCTGTCAGCTCCTGCGGACACCATCTTCCCCGGAAAAACGCTTCATTTTGCTGTTTTCCCCCAGGTCGCGTACGGAGTGTGGGGGACGCACTGCGAGTGGGCTGTGAGTGGGCTCCGTCTGCAGAGATTCTGCTCCACATCTCATGTATGAGCATCCCTCCTCCCCCTAAAATGACATGGGCTGGGAAATAACAACAGCAGGCAGCAGGGGAAGCGATTTGGGGAAAGAACCCCCTCCCCTTTCCCACATGCAGATCGATGGAGAAAACCCCGAACAAAACAAACAAATCCTGTATCAGCCCCCCTGTCCCCGCAGCCTGGGATCGCAATCCTTACCTTTGCGCACAGCAGGCGAGACAAAGAGCTGCTAAAGCAGAGACAATTCCACTCAATCTGTCTGCCTGAAATGTCCACATTTCCACAAAGACGAAGGATGAAAAAAAAAATCTTTGGAGGGGAGGGGAAAGAAGGATGGATCTTCTGAAATCCCCCTCCAAAAAAAGGGGGGGAGGGAAAAAAGAAACCAACCCCCCCCAGTTAGTGATTTCCTAGAGAAAAAGAATAATTAAAAAAAAAAAAATAAAAATGTGGGGGAAAAATATCCCCCCCCTCCTTCAGTGCCAGTCAAAGAATTCGTTTCTTCTTCCTTTCAGCATCCTTTCAACAAGAGACATCCTCTGGCAATGGAGAAAATCCCAAGAGAAAGAAAAATAAAATGCCCCAAAATGGGCTCAGCAAAATGTGAAATCAAATCTCACAGGTATGCAGAAGAAGGAGAAGAAGAAAAAATAAAAAAAGAAAAAGAAAAAAAAAAGAACTCAGTGTCCCCTGAGCACTCCACTTGGATTATTTTTCCTCCTGCTCTTTTGCCATCCGGTTCTGCAGATGTTGCATGGCTCCTGCTACCCACCTTCAGAGAAGAGGAGGAGGAGGAGAAAGATTGTGTGTGTGTGTGTGTGTGTGTGTGTGTGTGTGTGTGAGTGAGGGGGGAGGTGTGAGTTATCTAGCAATATGATTTTATTCTGGATTTTACCTACTTGCTCCCCGCTCCTTCCTTATTTTCTGAGGGGGAAGGGGAAGCAACCCAACCCCACTGTGCTGTGATTTTATTTTAGGAAAATCTCAGGCTCATCACTTGGAAGGCTTGGGGTTTTTTCTGAAAGGGTTAAAAAAAGGAAAAACAAATGCAACCCAGTAACCAAATGCATATACATATGCATGTGTAGAAAATAAATAAACCCCTGTCTGTGGAGAGAGCTGCTCTCCGAGGGAGGCTGGATGTCTCCCTAGTGCTGTTGCCGCAGCTCCTGTGGAGTTTTGCTGCTCATTGCAAAGTCACAAGAGGAAGGGAGGAGAGAGGGAGTTTGTGGATGGGGAGGGGGACTCTCTGGGCAAATTGGGATCCTGACGTCATGGCTGACAACATTAACCCCTGATGGCTTGCAGAGGGGATTTTTTTATTTTTTTATTTTTTTTCCCAGGGAGGTGGGGGCAGGGGAGAGGATGGGAAAGGTGATGGCATTTTGGCAACTGGGGTATTGCGTCTGGACAAGAGTGGCTCAGCTGCAGAGCTGGTGGGTGCTGTGGTTGCCTGAAATAATGTGACCAGCAAAGGCTGAGCTTCTTCCTTCAGCCACACAGATAAAAAAAAGATGATTTACTGAGACTTTCTCCATGCCACAGGGCAGAGTGGCCTGGTGGCCTCCTCCCAGTGAGCTGGGGAAGATCTGAAGCCTCTGGTGCAGTTCGAGACTTCTCCCAGGCCAGGGAAGCCCAGCTCAGCAGGGATGCTCAGCTTTGCCTAGAGGGTGCTGTACTTAGGGTACAATACAGTTTGTGGGAAAAGGGAGCCTGAACTTCCAGAAATGCTGCTGAGGATCAGCTCCTGGTGCTGTGGCTTTGCCTGCTGAAATGGTAACAGCCATTGAAATCTTCACAGTCACGACCTCCTGTGCATCAGCTTCTGATCTTTATCTTAAAAAGTAATATACTTAAGGAGCTCTACATCTCTACATCACACATGCAGTAATGTATTTCCATGGAGGATTTTTTTCCTAGAAAAAATAAGAGATGCAGCTGCACTTTGAATGCAGAGCAAAAGCCATGGCCCAAGGAGGAAATGTCCAAGCTCTCACACCAGGACCGTCCCAGATGCCATCACTTCTGTATGTGCCTGGCAGCCCAGAGCAGACCCTCTGAGCAGGTAAGTCTCCCCTCTCCTAGTGCTGGCTGACACCTCTGTGTGGATGGTCTCCAAAGCCATCTGGGCCAGGAGGGCAGAGCAGATGTGTCACTGCAGCTGGGCAGGACAAGGTCCAACATGCCTCTGAAGGCACACAGGGCAAGGTACAGTGGCCACCAGGCAGCACCCTCATCCTGACATCCCTGCAGGGACATCTGCCCCAGCCCCGGTGCACAAATCCTTGGCTCTGGGGTTCATAATGCTCCCTTCCCTCATGCTTGGTATGTCTCTTCATGGTTTCCTCATCAGAGGCACACCACAGATCACACACTCTGCATCTTCTTCTCCCAAAAAGGGGGATGGGGAATGACCATTTTGAAAAGCTTCCCCATTGCAGGCCACACTGAAATGTTGTGATGCACAGACATCAAAACAAGGAAAAGCTGGGCTGTGTGATGCACTGTCCTGGTGTCACAGCTTGGGCCATGTCCCCTGCAGCTCCTGTCACAGCAAGGAGGTCCTAGGGCCCGCCAGCTTGCGAGGCTTGTGGGGAAAAGGAGGGTTTCATGAAGGTTCTGTATCTACAGTGAGGCTGTGCTAGAACAGGAGGGGAGAAAGCCTTGTCACCTGCTGCTGAGGCTGGTGGAAAATGATCTCTGCTTGGTCCAGAGCCTGGACCACCACTGCTCCTGCAGACCTCTGTCAGTTAAGCTCAGAGCAGTGATCTCCAACTGTGTCTTCTATCAGGCCAAAGCAGATAAGTGGCACTTGTCACTTTCCAGCCAATGTGTCTGTCCATGCGGAGTCAGGAGCCAGGACACAGCAGCTACCCACAGGCTTTCACTGCAGACCACTCGCTGTGGCCTCCCAGGCTGCAGTTAGACACAGAGACTCCACTATGACATCCAGCTATGGCTGGTGCCGTTTAGCTGCATCGTATCCCAAAGCAAACACAGGCTGTCTGCCTGGGGTGGCTGCTGCACCGAGGGTGTGTGCCCTCAGGATGTGCCCTAGCTTGGACATGCCCTCGTGCCATGGACAATATGTGCTTTGTCAGCTCCCACGGAAGTTTTGATTTCTGTTGCTGGGGGGGTTCACCTTTGCTAAAGGGCTGTGGGGAGGTGGGTCAAAGGAATAGGGTTCCCCCATGTGCCTGTTGAAGAAGAGGAACCAACCCAGCAGATCTGGGCTGTGCTTTATCAGGCTTAGCCCCAACTTGAAAAGCAGCTGGTCTCACCATTTCCGCAGGACAGTTTGTCTCCTGTGTGGTCACTTGTGCCTCAGCTGGTGTGCCTGGCTTCACATTGCAGGGCACAGCCAGCCATGGCACGGATATCTCAGCGTCCTGTGAGATCTCCCCATGTGCACATGTACCTCCAGGAGCCCTGAGCATGGGGTGAGCTGCCCCGGCTCCCCTCCCATGCCAGCTGTTTTCCAGGTACGGTATTTACCTCATCTGGTGCTGCCAGCACACATATCTCCTGGCAGCAGTGTGTTTCTGAAGCATTTATTCTGAATTAAGCTGCTGGATACCAGGAAGGAGCTCTTGGGGAGACAAGAAGCATTTGCCTCTGCCAAGGCTCTGGGCACCAGAAGTCCACTTTAGTCTCTCCTGGTCCCTTCCATTCCTCCCTTTTCTGGCCCGTTAGCACTGCTCTCTCCCACCAGCTGTGATTGCATGTTACTGGTAAAAAGGTAAGTGGAAAGTAAATGTCAGAGGCGTACATGAAGAGGAAAAATTATACTCACAAATGGTGACATTTGTGCTTGCAAGTTCACCCAGTCAGGAGCAGAAACCGTGTCACATGAATTATCTGACCACTCAGCCACAACGGGAAACTTTGGAAACCCAATTGCTTAGCAGTGAATGCATTCAAAGAAGCTGTTGTGTGCTCTTGAATAATCTACCTGAAGCCATGTTCATGAATAAAGGACTGCTTTGGAATTAGTCACCCATCTCTGCTGAGTCTCATTAAGGCTGTTGCACACTGATACATGATGATGCTCACTGAAGGGTTTGTTTCTTGCCCTCTGGAAGATGGGCATCCTTGAGTCTCTCCCAGGAGCCCAAATGCTGGGTGTCCCTCCCCTGCTGGGGGCTGTCTGCTCTCCAGTGAGAGTCTAGTAGTGGGTTTTTCTGAAGTTCATATTCTGAGTCCAAAAAGAGTTGTGAGAGGCTGCTGGAGATGATCTGCTATAGCTGTAATCACCCTGAAGAGGCCATGAAGGATTGTGTTCATGACCATTTGCTGTCCTACACTATTATATCATTCATTTTCGCTCCTCTCTTACCTGTTGCTGTGCTGTAAGCTCCACACCTTGACTTCCCTTCTTATTCTGTGGCCACTGCTGACTCCAAGTCGCAGTCAATATGACAGTGTTGTGCCAAAAACCTCTACAGATTATGGTTTATTATGGTCTACAGCCACCAGAGACATTGCAATTTCTTTTTTTTTTTTTCCTATTTTTTATTCTTTTTTATGTTTCCTCTTTTTCTCTTTTTCTTCATAATGTCTAACACTTGCTGGGCATTCACCTGTGTGCTATCTCCATCTTTGGTTCATGGTAAAGGAGAGAAGGATCAGAGCTGTCCTGAGGGGTTTGCATGAGTAAAACAGTGAGGCAGTGAATCAGATTGTCTCTACCTTTTAGCAAAAACA